ACTGCATTTGACTTTCTTGTTAAAACAACCCTGCATTTTTCAAAATGCTCTTTCTTTACCCTGTTGTGTGCACGTGAAAAGGTGAACACCATGTTTATGTATTGCTTTCTTTTCTGAATGATAGAACAGTCTTCTTGTATGGTCTTTGGCTGCAGGCTTATATTGAGTTCAAAATGGTTAAACAATTTACATTTGATTATTAATTCTTAGGTAAAGAAAATATCAGAGAAGAAGAGCTTTGCTTTTCATCTCAATGACTTTCAAAGAGTGCAGACTGAGCAGCACCCCATGTTCTTTTTCACTGGACAGCTTTCCAGCCACTCTGCCCCCAGCCTGTAGCACTGCTTGGGGTTGTGGTGACCCAAGTGCAGTCCCTGTCCCCTGGGTTTGTTAAACTTCACACAGTTGATCGCAGCCCATTGATCAAGCCTGTCCAGATTCTTCTGCAGAACCTTCCCACCCTTAAACAGATCAAAATTCCTACCCACTGGGTGTCATCTTCAGACCAACTGAGCAGGCACTCAATCCCCTCATCCAGATCATTGATAAGGATATTAAACAGTGCTAGCCACAACACTGGTCCTGGGGAACACCCCTAGTGATCAACAACCAGCTGAATGTAACTCCATTCCCCATCAGTCTCTGGAACCAGCCATCCTACCAGTTTTCTTCCCAGAAAAGTGTTCCCATCTAAAACATGAGCAGCCAGTTTCTCCAGGAGAATGCTGTGGGAGATGGTGACAAGGGCTTTATTAAAATTCAGGTAGACACATCCACAGGCCCACCTCATCCACTAGGTGGGTCATATTGTCACAGAAGGAGATTGTCTTTCCTAAACCCATGTCTTGGCAGCTGCCCTCAAGAAGGCATGCCAGGAGCAGATGGCAGTGCTTCTCATGGAGATTCCCAGTTCCTATGTTGCCATCAACATTGTCTCTAACACCAATGAATTAGTAGGTGTTACAGCTGTTTCTCACAGCTTAAAGCTTGGTTCAGTTATAGGGAAGTCTTCTCACCATGAAATTTCAGAAAGTTCAGAACTTGTCCTTCCTCTATGCTCTCTTTATGAGATCCAGTGCTCCTAAGTTGGGTGCCTGAAATCTTAATCCTATGTCTTTGTCTAGACAGGCCAGATGTATTTCTGATTTTAAGAGGAAATTAAGTGAAAACGTGCCCATTGTTGCTGGATATTGGCAGCAAAGTTTTATATCTTGTCTCTTTACTGCATATTCTAGGGAATGTGTAAGTCTGTGCAGTGGATCTTTTTATTAAAAAAAAAGAGGGAAGAAGAAATCAAAATAATTAAAATGAAAAAATAAGAAAGAGGGAAAAAAAGAGACTGGTAATATCTAGGTTAGCATAAAATGTTTCTTTGAGTAAGTAGCCAAATTACTAACTATAAAAGGGTAGAAACAAAAACTCTTGGTAATATGAAAAATTTGTGAGTGAGTAGGAGGTCAGGACTACAGTGACTTGTAATTCAGCTCTGCTTGTATTAAACCTGGATATGAACTTCTGAACTAGGTTTTCCACAACCTTTCCAGTTTGGGTTATTGGTTAAGAAATTATTAATCATGAAATATATCAGTTTCTTTCAGAGTTATATGTGATATTGATGACTCAGATGTACTGTTCAGAGATTTTAAAAGCTTGCTGCTCTCAGTTATCTTTTATAGGTTTTTATAAATATATACTTCTGTTTGTAACTAATGTTCTTCTATATGTATTGTTTCAGGGTTTAAATAATAAAATTTTCTTCATTAGAATCCTTTAAACATGATTTTTTTTTTTGTTAAATTCTAAATAGGATGAAATTAAATTTAGTAAAAAGGTAAGGTTTTTTGACACAAAAGGTATTGCTTAATTCTGCATGAACTCTGTTCTATTCTTTATCTTATTTTCGGTAGGCAACTTGACTGTTGCTTTTGGATGTCCTGGAGGAAGAAAAAAAAAGGGTACATACTAGAGCTTCAAAACATAATCCATGTGTAGTAAATAAAGCTTTTGTATTATTTCCAACAAAAAAAATGAAATCTTGCTTTCTTTACTAGGTACTTTTCCCAGTCAAATGGAATATAAACTGAATAGGCCATGAAAATTCAGTGACACAGAACTCCATAAAGGTGTATAATTACCCTAAAGTCCTACTTATGCAGCAGTTGTTCCATACAATATTTGTAAACTTCGCACAATTGACCTTTTTTGCAATCCTTAAACAATTGCAAGCGTGTATAGTAACATTTGGATGTTACTACACACGCACTCACATCATCACTGGCTATGATCTTGTCTCATAAATTAAGTAAGGTTGGGTCCTGTCAGTTCTTGGATACAAGGCCTCCAAGGAAAACCCAGATGGTGCAGGCATTGATAGCAATTCAGTGGGAAGACCACCTACTGTGTTAGTACTCATTTTTCTTCAGGATTGGGAGCATTGTGTTTGGAAGGATGTTGCTGCATTTCTTTCTGAGGTTAAAAATTAAGAACCTGACCAAAATTAAGTATTTCAAATCATCAGAATAATCCCATAGCATGTTGCATAAGAGAATAGAAGTGGTTCAAATATTGCCAGCTGAAATCAGAAAAATATTAGAGTTAATTGAAAATATATTTTTCCTTTTTTTCAGTCTCTTTTCATTCAGCATCTATCCACCCCCTCTGATGACTAAAAACTAAAAGCAATTTTTATCTTCATCAGCATTTCCTGTAAGCTTTTGCAAAATATTCAGAACTCAAAAAAGCATGACTGCAAAAGAAACTGGGAACTTCCTCAGCTGGGAATCTGTAACTTTGCCTTATCTTATTATTTCCTTTGGTGGCATAGAACAAATAAAATGTTAAAATATAATCAGTTTTGCATTATTTTATTGACGGATATCATCATGTCCCGTGCACCCATTAATTACCCTCTCTGGGCTAGGGTCCCTGGTTACACCATAGAATTTTGGTGGAGCAGGAAGGGGAGCAGGTAATAAACAGTGCTGCCTGAAAACCTCGGGCCAGGGGCAGTGTGGCAAGTGGAGCACTCTTTACCATGCATTGTCTCAGTAAAGTGCTGAGTTACTGCTGCAATGCATTACAAAAAGTCTCATTTAAGAGAGATTTTTGTTATGTTCCCCCTGACATGCTTTATAAAAAATGAAATTATTCACCAAGCACAGACATTTATCATGAAAGTGAGTCTCAAACCCAAAAGTGGATGAGAAGCAGATACAGCAGAAAAAGAAGATTGTGATAAGTCCAGACAGGCTATATAGATATAGCTTTCTTCCCAGCTCAAATAGGAATAATATTGTTGTGATCTTTGAGTGCAGGCTGAGAAGGTTATAATTGTTTTCTAATGTTTAGCACCTAGAGTTTTAACATGGAAAGAGATTTTTCAAAGCCTAGAAGCTTTCATGGCCTTAGAAGAAAAAAACCTTTGGAAGTGACTATTGGGTAAGATATTCATAGCTGTAAGTAATGGATCTTTTTTCACAGAGGATGTGAAAGGCACATTTACTCTTGGAGCCTGGTTGCTGTCACTGTGCTGTGTCAGAGAAGGTATAGTGGAGTAAAACTTCACATAGTCACAAATGCTCAGTCCATAGTGCATTAATTGAACTTGATGCTGATTCTTCATAAACACAAAGTAGTTCTCAAGTCAACATTTTAAGGGAAAGTCACAAGGAAATTACGTGTTCTGAAGACATCAGCAAGAAATCACAACCAAGCAGGAATAACTGTAGACTCTGATCATGTGAAAGTCAGTATGCATCCTAAGGTTTCACACTGACTGGAGTAGATAAAAGAGGAGGAAACAGGATAATTAATGAATTTTGATCATAGTTTCTAAAAGAGATAGAGCTTATGAAAATGTATTTTGACTTTTTACAGATGCTATGAAAACTTTGCTGCTTGGAACTTGACTTATAGGATGGTAAAATGCTGAAGTTCCAAGAATTAATGTTGGTCAAAACTAACTTGGGCTCCTGGAAAGTAAAATAGAAAACCTCATTTATTTTGCTAAAGCTTCAATTTTAGTAACTGTTGTGGCAGGGATGATAAGAATATTCTTAGTGTAAACACTACTAACAACACTAAACTTGAATAATTGAACTGTCTGATTTCACTATACTTCCTCTGAAAATATATCAGTGTAAATACAGATCTGGCCTTGACCCCAGATCTTCTTTTGGTGGAGACAAGAGAGGTGTGTTTAGGCATAATGCTGTATTTCTGCTCACCAGGAAGAACAGATACTCTCTTTCACTGCAACTTGGTAGGATGCCAGAGGTACTTTGGGGAGACAGCTCAGGTGAAGGAACAGAGCAGCATGACAAGGCAGCAAGATGAAGGAATGAAGCATTAAGGGAAAGAAAGTCTTGTGTTATGGAAGTGTGCAAATGCTAAACCCACTACAGGAGGGAAAAGAGGCTTTGATGATGCTGTGAGATTTTGCTTCCCCAACACCAGGACTCAATACTTTGATATTTGTTGCTTCTCATTTTGAATTAAACAGAATATTAAAAACTAAACTTTTAAAAATTGAAATCAAGACAGGAAGATCTTTCAGAGAACTTCAGAGATTTTATTTTTTTTTTTTAGATTTGTGGGGCGTGGTCAAAGTTTCCTAGCTACAGAATTTATTATGGAACACAAAGAGATGATATGAATTCTTTTGGCATTTCTAATCATAAAAGGCTTTTCTTACATGTTCATCTACTATTTTAGCAGGAGAAAATTTCAGCATATAACGTGGGCTCATAAAGGGGTAAATCAGGATTTTATAGTGATGGGAGTCATTCTTGTTTGTTGCAGAGGCTGAATGAGTCTGGGACTGCAGAAGGAAAGAAAGACCATCTTGCACAGGAACTCCATGGTATCCTGATAATTTGTCTTCTCCTCCTACCTCTGCTTCCTGGGAGGTGTTTGCAGATAACTGTTAAAACTTCCTTCTCAAAGGCATTCAGAAACTGTGTGCCATTGCTTTCTGGGTGTCTGACGGCAGAAGCTGTGGAGGACCAAGATGCAGAACTACTCAACACTCAATTGCAGCTAAAGGGAATAGGGAACTGTGATTTTAAAAGCTATAAAATACTTGCTGTAATCTATTTTAAAAAAATCATTCCTATGTATGTGAAATTGGTATGTCAGTTCTAGCTATGTCTGCATTTCTGTTCATTCAGAGTAAGAATGTGGATGGCAATTTCCCCTAAATATGTGTAGATATTCTTGTAGTTTGTAGCTGATGGAAGCACTATAAAAATTAATGTTGTTGTAAAATTTGGGACAACCAACATTATTTCTTTCTGTGTACCACAATGTGACATGCTTTCACATCTTGAACTGAACAGATAAAATGGAATAAGTAGATGCTTGCTAAGAATATCCCCAGTGAAACACTTTTGCAAGTCAGTAATTTTTATTTTTATATGCATGTAGCAGGACTGAATCAACATTGTCCAGGTAGCAATATTAGAAGTTGTGTATTTTGAGTATTTTGCTATGAAACATCATTGCACTTTCACTGTAAGTATTTAAGTGATTGTAAGTAATACAGACTAGAATGTTTCAATAAAAAATAATTTTGTTGGTACAAAGCTTTATTTATATTTCTTAGAAGCAGAATCTAACTGAAATAAACCTTGTTTCTTCTATGTTGCATTTTTTCCCATTTTCAATTCTGAGTTTTCTTTTGTACTTCAGGTTAATTATTAAACTATGAGGGAATTTAAAGCCTGTTTAAGGCAATGTCCAAATGAGGAGTTCTTATTCCATAATACTAGTAAAATGGGAGTAATCCATTTATAATCATACCTGCAGTCTGCTAAATTGAAATATCCACCTCAAAACAAAGTTATTTTAGAACTCTGAATTTTGATTCTAGTTTTCTTCAGGCTTACTAACTCTGGGAATTTTTAAGAGATAAGACTGTCATTGCTAAGTCAGCAAAGTTAGCAGCAGAGACATTAGCATTATTTTTCTGATTATTCATTATCAGCAAATTATTATTCAGCTCCTTATTCATGGTGCTCTGTTGGTGTCCTCTTCTTGGTGAGATGCCCTCTCTGTTCTTACTAGACAGGTCCATATGATGGCAAGACTTTATCAGGTTGATTGAAGAATGAGTATTTTCAAGTTCTGAGTGTTTAACATGAGACATTGTTAAAATCCTCTAATATTCAGATAGTGATCAACACCTGTCTTTGGAAAAGCTGTTTTCTTTGAGCTAGACCTATAAAATATTGGTCACCTCAGAACATATTGATCAGTCTCCTTCCCCACTTGCAAAAAAACCCTCATCTGGGCAAAACTAATATTGCTTCTACAGCTTACCATGAATATCAGAGCTTGGCAGGATTTCACTACCTTCAGTTTCCTCTACCAGTAATTCATAACAGTGATTTAATAAGTTCTGTCCTCCTTTGGAATATGGCCATGGTTTAAACTGCTCAGAGGCAAGTGAGTCAGATCAGGCTGAGTGCTACCTCCAAGCTAATCCCCTTTTCTCAAACCAGTGCTCCCTTCTGGCCTCTGTGGTTTCCTCTTTGCAGAAAGCACCCCTCCATATTGTATTGGTTAACTGCTTCTGAATTTGTATGCAATATGATGTAAGGTAGCAGATTCTCTGGCACACAGGTTATGCAATTTACAACCTGAAAAGGTAAATTATTGATAAATTTCTGGTGCTGCAAAAATAAGTGGAATTTTTACAAAGTAAGACCGGGTGCGATCTTTGCTTGAGTTTATTATTCTGCCTTTTGCTCCCCCAGGTTTCCCATGCCTCTAGACAGACTCAGTTTAATATCCATCCCAGATATACTGCCATCTCCAAGTTTCTGGCAGTCGCTGTTATCTGTCACACTGATGTGCTGCACAGGAAAATTGTTCTGCATTTTTTTGGTGGAGAAATAAAAAGTTATTGGCATAGGTAGTTTGGAAGACAGAGCAGCTTTCTTACCCAGTGAGATATTATTGTGTTTCAGAAGCATCTGAAGGGAGTCAAACCCAGTCCACACATATGTTCAATTTTACATGGTGTGCTGAGGCCAAAATTTGGGGCCAGCTGCTCCTGAGTCTCTGGCATGTGCTTTTCTTTAACCACATAGAGCGTTGCCTGTCTGTATCTGCTTGCACAGTTGCGGCTTCAGCTTCAGAGCCATGTAGATGTTTCTTAGCCTCTCAGTGTCTTTAAAAAAAAAAAAAAAAAAGAAAATACATCATTTGGAGTTAAGGCTAAAGAAGTGGTTTGCTGTCTTTTGGCTTATTAAACTGCAGTAGTACTAGAAAATATAATGTGACAACTACTGCCTGACTTTTGCGTCTATACGGAATAGATTTTAACGTTGTTTTAAAACTTGCACAGTATAGGAAATGAAGCCTCAAAATTCATGTATTCTGGCTGCACGTAAACTGGTGCTTTTTTGTCACACATGAGGACAGAGATTAAAAACAACTTTATAAAGTATTTATGAGGTTTTGATTTACCACAATTATTTTCTCTGGCTTTTAGAGTCTCTGAATAGTATCTTAATGCTAGATCATATTTTCTGACAGCAAAACACCAGATACACTGTAATGATTTGGCACTCAGCCTTTTGGAATGAAGGCCAAAACTGGTTAAATAAATCTTTTTCAATAGCAAGGAGCAATGATTGCATTGTAAACTCTGCATAAATCTGTGATATTACAGAAAGCAACTGTTTTGCAATAAGTTGAATTGAAAAAAAAAAAACTATGGAAAAAATTTCCCTTACTGGAAATATGTCAACATGGCATTTTGCTACCCGAGTCTTCTATACTGTTGCAACTGGACTTTTAATAATGTGACAGAAAGTGTTTTTCTTGATTATTGTACTCAAGATTGTGTGAGAATCCCAGACCGGAGTAGTATTTCATAAAAATATTAACTTTATTAATAACACATAAAATACATTGGGATTTCTAGTAGTCAGTTCTACACATGGCTAAGAAAAGGCAGGTGGTTTGTGAAACAGCATGAACTCGTGCTATGCAAGATTTCTATCAGGAGGGGCAAAGCTCTGAGTTACTCAGCTGGAGCCAGTGGTGTAAATATATTCACCAATGTGCATTTACTGTTGGTGGCTTATGAGTGTAGGTCTTAGAAGTGATGCAAGACATCAGGGTTGCTGTGCTAAACACTCTGCAAGGGTGTAGACAGACATCACCCTCACCCAGAAGAGCTTATAGTTAAAAATACAGATGTCTCAGACCTGATGGAAAGGGAAGCAGACGCTTAAGAGAAGCAATTTATGCAAGCCACAGGCTGCCAGTGGCAGCAGTGAAAGGAGGAGTGTTCCCAGAGGCTGAGCCCCATGGTGCAAGCCGCGACTTTCCTTCCACAGGAGGGTACGTTTGTTTATTTTCCCTTCGGAGTTTCACGCGTGGAAGGACGGTAGGGAAGCGCAGAGCCACGCAGTGATGTGAGCGCAGAGCCCACGGCTCCCTCCGGCAGCTCCGGGCGCGTCGGGCCGGGGGAACGAGAGGGCCCCATGGAGCTGCCAGGTCAGGACCTGGGAGCGGAGGGGCGGGTGCCCCCTGTGACCCCCTGCTCTATCTCTTCTTGAGAAACTACCTCGGCTTGGCTTTTAAAAAGGGCCAGAACCAGCTGAACAAATGTATGGCTGTTTGGTGTAACATTTCCGTGCAGTTCAGGTTAATAGTTCACTTACAGTGCAAAGATTAAATCTGTGTTCTCCAGATCGTATAGACTCTACCTCAAAAGAAACATCAATAGCAATAATGAGAATAATGATAACAACAACAATAAAATAAATAAATAATGATAATGATAATTTAACTTTTACATTATTAAAAAGTCAACGTCCGGGAAAAGATTGTCAGCAGAAATGGTGAGGGAAGGACAAGCCAGGATGCAGAAGTTCATCACAACCCTCATGATGTTCATGGCTCACACAGCCCTGCAAGAGCAGGTTTCAGCTCCTCGGGCATCATGATAAGCCTTCTTATCACCTCATGAAGCTACAAATGAAGTGAGCGAAGCGCCGCCGCTGCCAGGGGCTGGGCGGGCCGGAGGCGGCAGAGCCCGG